CGCCAGGGGGCAGGCCCGCGCCGGGAAGTTTCGCTTTGAACTTGAGGGCTGCCTGCTGCACCCCCCGCAGTGCTGGGAGCGGCGCGCGGGGCTGGCCATGCTGCCCTTCGGGGACAGGACCAGGTATCTGGCGCGGGCACGAGACGGGATGCGCTGGGGCCCGGGAAGAACTGCCCCCCCTCCTCCCCTGTCCCCCGCTCTGCGCCTCTGCCCCCAGAGCCAGCCTCAAGCCTCCCCCTTGTACCCCAAGCTGCGGCATGGGCAGCGTGGGGCCAGGGTAAGCCAAGCGGAGCTGGTGCTGGGAGAAAAGCCGCCCTTAGATTGCTCTTCAGCCACTTCGGAAACTGGGGGTCGCTGGGAAGGCTGCATTTATAGTAACCCTGGTGCTGGGCTGGTTTCCCTCCTCCACCAGAGAGGCTTGGTGGGCCTCCTGGATGGCTCCCTTTGGGGAAGGGGGGCTGCAGGCAGAATCCAGTTTGGTGCCATTCCCATGGCTAAGTGAAAGGTCCTTGCGTTGGAGAGGAGGTGGCTGGAAAAAGACTTCTGGACTGGCAGGGCTTGCCTGGCAGCCGCTTGATGATGCTTTTTATAACAGTGGGAGTATCGCATTGTTTTTCAGGGATGTCCGCCTGACCTGAGCGGAGTTTTTCCTCTTTGTAACTTACTTTCTTCATGGCAGGTTGTCCAGGACAGGCAGTTGCTCCTATCTTGTACATTAGTGGTGGTGGAAGAGGCACCTTTTACAAACTATTTGCTGGTCTGGCTGGTTCTTTTCTTCCTATTACGCTTAATAAAACTGAGCAGTTGGAGAGAAGCAGCGCGTTTTGTTAGCCGTTTGGCATTCTGCATTGTGCCACTGTTTTGGATCCCTGGCTTGAGCGAGAGTGCTACGCTGTTCGTTCCACATTGTGCTTTGTGTTTGTTTTTTAAAAACGTGCACAATTTGTGCTACGGTAATAGTTACCTTGAACAAAAATGCATGCAGTTTCCACAGTAGGGTTTCCGTTGCTTAACTTTTTACTTGGTCTTCCTTTGACGTTGTTTTTAACCGTTGCTCTAGAAGTCTAACTTTGTACTGCAGTGGTTTGGGTTTATTTCTTTAGGAATATAAGCAGATCTTTAGAGCAATAAACCAAAAAAAAAAAAAAGAAAAGAAAGAATTAATCAGGTCAGCCAAAGGACCTTCTCTTTAACATTGCAAATATGAGTACAAATGTGCAAAATGGAATTCAGCTGCACCATTTGTTACAGAGTAATGTGATACATTGGGGCTGGGAAAGAATACTAAGGTCATGATCCAAAACCTACTGAAGTATCTCTACACTGGCTGCAACCGGCTTTAAATCAGGGTCTAATTTAGCAACCATGTGTCGCAACATAAAAATTGATTATATGTGATGTTTCTCTCCCCGTCATACATTCATCCTCCAAGTCCCCACTCCCTGAGTAGCCTTTTTGACTGTGCCTACATGAGTAAGGATTTGCATACATTGTGCCTCATAAATAAAAACAGAAAGATTGATTTGGGTGGCTTTATCTGAAAAAGATTAGGTTTATAAAGGAGAGTAACAGTTCCATATCTCAGCTCTAAATTATAAGGGATGTTTTTGCCTTGTTCTCTTTTGCATAGATCACTTTGACATGGATGTGTTTCTCTGTGGCTTCAGAAATAAGCACACCTCCTGAAAGGCAGGACTTGAAGAGAAAAGATGTGTGTTTGTTTATTCACAATTGGTTCTACTTAATACAACTATATTCATAAACCAGAAATTTCATATGCTCCATTTGGAACCTTTGACATTAGATATTCTGGACCCATGTGAGTATGGGCTAAAGGTATAGGTCACCGGTGTGCTAAATTTATTCTTTGTTTCCAAGCAGAAAGAAAATGTGAAAGTTGGTTTTATGGCAACAGTTTAAACTTTATTATTGGTCATCATTACAAGTCAAGGTCTGATCCTGCAGGATGCTGTATACCTTTCTGTGGAGGTTTTCAGGAGGAATTCCAAGTCATGCATCATCAGGCTGCATTATTCTTTGAGTCCAGGATGATTCAGTGGACTGGTGAATTCTGTGTGTAGGTTTAACTGTGTGTTATGTTTCATTTTCTACCAAATACAGTGAAAGTGTGCAGCCTAGGCCCTGTAGTGTGAATACTTATAAGCAGCTCTAACTTGCATAGACAGTCTAAGTACGCATGAATAAAAACTGCTCACCTGAGTAATGCCTTACAGTATCAGGCTGCTACATTTTATATCTTTGTTTTGTTCTGGGCAGACTAAAGATATGCAAGAAGCATAGAAATAGATATTAAATTTGAGTTTTTATGATTGCTTTGATCAGAGTACAGAGTAATGGGGATACTTCTTCCTAGCAAACTCAATGAAATTATAACAGGGATGAGTTCAGTGTAGGCTATGTAAGCTATTTACAGTATTTTTAGGGTATGCACCTCTTAGGCAGTTTGTTCTTAGTTCTCCTCATTAAGTTGCTCCTTTTTTCCCCAGCTTCCTTTGTGGTTGAAAATTTTAGCATTTTATATCTAAATAGAAATGACATCACAAAAAAAAAAAATGGAGAGGTTTTTTTTTTTCCAAAGTAAAACTAATTCTTCTAAACTTGTACTGCATCTGAGTTGCTTTTAGATTGTAGCTTGTGTTGACCCCATATTATGGTTGTACCTTTTTTGTAATTGATGTTAAAATTATAATCCTTAATATTGGACTAGGATAGCAGTATAACTTGCAGTCCTTACACCTATAAACTTGTAGTGAATTAGGCCTGAATCTGATTTCCGTAGCCTCTTACTAAAGTTTTACCAAATACAAAAAGGTAAATAAACAAAATACAAGTGACTTTTTATATTTGATAAAACCTTTATCCAGTTGTTGTCATATCAAACTCCACGTTAAACTTAAAACCCAGTTGGAGATGCCAGACTACACTATTCCTGGTTTTCCTTATTGTCCCTCTTTAAAAAAAACGAAAAGAAATTCCTGTACTTCTTTTTCTGTCCTTTGCAATGAACTACAGGTACTGTTGAAAGGAAAAAATCTGCTCTTGGTTGCCGGCAGTTTTAGGGCTGGCTTCCTAAATTCACGGCATAATAGATGAAAATGATTAAACTAAGCTTTGTGTTTTTCTTAATGAAAAAAAGGCTTTTTGCTATAAATACTTCTTGGCTTGTTAAGTATAGTTGGAAAACATTTACAAGTGATTTGCTTCATTGCCGAAGATTCTGGGGGTGACATTCACCAGAAAAAGACTCCCTGGTTCGAATCCAGTGGTTGCATGGCTTGAATATAGCAGTGATATTTGTTCTTTTGCAAAAGGGCAGGTACAATTTATTTCCCTTTCTATTGGCTCCAAGAAGTCCGTTTGGGGTATACTAGCTGTGATATTAGGTTTCTCAGTTAAGTGGCCTTCAGGTTTACATGTTTAGAGGGATACACAGCAAGCTCTTTCATCCTGGGCCATCCATTTGGTGTTTAGCTTTTAAGCTTATGCTTATTAAGTATATTATTTGTGTTAATCTCATGGTTTTGTGTTGTAATATGTTTGCTTAATTTGTGTCCACTTAAGAAAAAGGTTGTGCGTTTTTGAACAAGTGGAAATAAGTTCAGACTAATGCATATATTCTGAACTATTAAAAATGCTGTACTGAAAGTTTGTTTAGGAGAGTTGTTTTTGAATAGCCAAATTAGGAACATATTTTCAAATCTGCTCTAAAAATATTAATCTTAAAAATATGTAACATTTTTACTTTAATGAGCCAAATCCATCCCTGGTGTAGCCTGTGACTTAAATGAAGTTAAGTTACGCTGACTTCACTGTGTATTCTCCCATTTGCACCTTTGCTTCATGTTATACGCATGTATAGAGCTTTGCTAGAGGGAGAAGTGCAGGTAGGAGAAATGCATGATAGGGCTTCTTAGGAAGGATTTTGAAATGTGGTTTTATTTATTTATTTTGTAAAGCCAGTTACCTTAAAAACCTTTTCCTCACTTGTAAGTAGCTTCCACTTCCTTTAGCCCTTTTCAGGAAGCTCACATCCCTGAAGAGATGTCTACAGTGTGTATTAACATCATTCTAGTATATCTTTTTAAGGCACCAATCCAGCAAATGCTGGATGCGTGAAGAAATTTTACTCGTGAATAATTTACACTGTGCCTAAATATTTTCAGACTATGCATGCAAATAAGTGTAGGCAGGTTGCAGAAAAGGGTGGTTTTGGGGGCAGGATTTAAAGAAGAAAAACAACGTACTAATACACCTTGAAAAAACTATCACTTATTCAGGAAAGTTTGGAGACTTTAAAGCAACAATTTGTACTTTTATTCTCAGCTGACCACAATCTGGCTTCCTCTATCACACAGAACTGTCAGTAGGAGTTCTGAACAGGAATTAAGTGTAGACTAGTTTCCAATTAGTACAGAGCTGCCACATAAGAGAGTGCTTTTGCTGCCTGTTGTATACCTCAGATGTTAAAGAAACACAAAGGCATGCACAATGTTAATTGAAAT